GATGGATAGACCCTAAAAGACAATCACCAAGACATATAATAATCAAGCTCTCTAAAATCAAAGATAAGGACAGGATCTTGAAAGCAGCTAGGGAAAAGAGAAATATAACATACAAAGGCAAACAAGTCAGATTAAGCTCAGATCTCTCAACAGAAACCATGCAGGCAAGAAGGCAATGGGGAGACATATATTAAACCCTGAAAAAAAAAAAACTTCCACCCAAAAATCCTATACCCAGCAAAGCTGTCAATCAAATATGATGGTGTCATCAAAAGGTTCCAGAATAAACAGAAGCTAAGGGATTTTGCCAAAGCCAACCCTGCTATGAAAAACATCCTAAAGGAAATTCTGTGGACCGAGAACCAACAAGAACAGAAGAGCACACGGTCTGAACTCCAGTCACAGCAATTCATCTCGTATGCCGTCTAAATTAAAAAAAAGGAAAGCTACTACCTAAGGATACAAGGGAAGTAAGCCCCTATTCTTGGTACTGGGCAGGTAGTTGTGAGATTAGAAAGTTGGCAAGGATTGTATTATGTGGGTCCTCATGCTCCAAGATAAGCCTAGTAAGGGATTCTATTGGAAGGTTTTAAGCAGGCGAGGGATGTGATCTGATTAATATTTCACCAATAAGATAGAAGCCCAGTGAGGAGGCTGTGGCAGTAGTCCAGATTGGTGATGGTGAAAATAAAAACAAACAGATTTGAGCTACATAGTGGAAGTTGAAACAATGAAGCTTGTCAGTGAATTAGATGTGGCAGGATGAGAACAAGGATGATCCCTAGAATTTTGGCTTGAGCAACTGCATGGTTGCTAAGATGGGAAAGGCTAAGGAAGGAATAAGTTTGAGAGAAGTAAGATTTCCATTTTGTTCTTCTGTGTTTTAAAAAATCGGTTAGCTGTCTGAGAAGAGATACAATGTAGGCCGTTGGATATAGAGTATGGTGTTGAGGTGTAAGAGGTCTGGTGTCTGTTTGCGAGCAATCAGCATATAGATGGTACTTCACCATTTAGGAGTTAGCAGCAGGAGGAGTGTACAGCAGAGGACACAGAGAACATATGATCAGAGAGACAATACTCATGGCACGTTAGACATGACCACTTATGTGTGACAACTCCAAAAAGTAGAAGTCTACAGGTGACTGGCTAGGGGAGGCAGGGGCAGGAGAAACCAGAAATTAGGGCAAA